AACTCGTGTTTTTAAAGATCTCGCTCGCCTCGCTCTGAAAGCCACACCTCACTGGAATGTCGCCCTAATATTCGAGCTTGAATTAAGCGGTTCCGGAAAACATCACAATTAATCTCCTACATTTGCAGTCATTTCCATTTCACTCCTCCCTCTTGATAATTCTGCAATTCGCGCCGTAATTGGAGAGCAGCGCCCTTCTACGACTCCATCAAATTTGAGTGTTATTAGGGGGGGGGGGCTATGTGACAGGAGAATCATAATTTTCCGGGCTGGTGAGCGTCGCGTGCGACGTCGCGCCCGCAAATAACGATGGTTTCCAGGTAGTAGATGGCGACAACAGGCAATTCAGAACTGAAAATAGTCATGAATGTCTACGATGACGGGGTCTACATGAAGTCCGGTGCTCCAATCGACAAGGTTAACACGAGTTAAGAAAACGCCGAGCCCATAGCCACGCGGTGGAGAGGCAAAGTACGATTCACTTGCCCGTCTCCCTTATCAGGGTGAATCGTGCCAAAAGTTCTCAGATAACTGTGGACTTGATAGGTCTTCAAGATCCTTTGCTAATCGGTCTGTATTTAGTAGATTTTGATTAATCCATGGCTACATACCTACGTTCCTATAATTCTACTCGTGATTTGAACCCTATCATCTTGCCCGTTCGCCGGTTGTTCGCTTAGAAGATTCGCGACTGGAGACAGCTAGTCAATAGAATCGTTCCAGTGAATTTTCAATCGACCAGAAATGAGAGATTTGTTGCCGGTAGATCGTCTGATGAACCGTATGCTATACGATACCATAAGGGATATGGATCGTTTCGAAAGGAAGCATTTTCCCTTATTGGAGAGAAGCTGATCATTCCGTGCTTCATGTGGCAAACGAAACCCAGCAGGTATGCAGTAAGCCTGGCCAGGTGAGGTTTACAGGCCCATCTTTCAGATTATCCATGATTAACAAGCCATTCGAAAATGTCAGTTCGATATTTATTACAGCTTGTGGATGACGATAAGAAGTTCGCCGTTTCGTTGGATGTATCGCAGTTTCGCCCAGAGGAGTTGAATGTGCACTTGGAGGGGCGTGAACTGACCATCGAAGGCAAGCAAGAGCACACCTGAGCTGACCATCGAAGGCAAGCAAGAGCACAAATCGCAGAACAGCGCCATGTATAGGTGAGTCCTACCGTTTACTCCATTGGATAGATGTGTATTAGATAGATATTGATCGCTTCGCTCATTTCAGATCATTCACCCGCAAATGGTTGCTGCCTGAGAATGTCGACCTGGAGGCAATTCGTACTCAGCTCGACGACAAGGGTCATTTATCCGTGGAAGCGCCAAAGAGTATCGAGGGTCAGACGCAGAAAAGATCCATCCCCATCATGGCCGCTCCCAAGAACTGAATCTATAGTTGGCAGGGTCTAATGACTCATTGTAATGTAGTGTAGTAAATGTAATAAAATAATCATTTTACTCCTAGCTGAAATATATCTCTTGTCATTAATCAGTAAAATTTCTGTGTGTTTTACTATAATTGTCTTTAATCATTGCATGTTATCTAGTTTGTTCGTTCAGTTTGTTCATTTTATCTTTGTACATTCCGAGCATGTTTGTAATTGTACCCAGTAACTGAATTGTCAGTGTTTATTTTGCATTAATGATTCTGTGTCTAATAAACGAAATTCGATTTCTCGTTGGTTTATTCCAGTTCGCTCTAAGTAAGCCAATACATCCACAATAAGGGAAGTTCAGGAGGTCCGTATTGCGAGGGCGTGCCGTTGCGGGGCGTTTCCCGTGCATTGCATTTGCATCAGGACCTAACTGATCTAACGTGGAAATGCTGTTGATTGAGTCAACCAGCTACGAATTCGCTAGTTAGTGCACGTCACGTGGATCTCCTAAAAGGTACTCGGTAATTTCACAAGTGAAGGATCCAAAAAATAGAAGGGCGAAGTGTAAGTTTGGCGCTAGCGCAGTTGAGGGCCGAAGGATGGGATAGCCGAGTGGGTTAAGAGTGTAGTCTCAGGTTTGACGGTATGGGTTCAATCCACATCAAGGCTCGAACCGCGCCTTGCAAAAGTTGCAAAAACGGTGACGATACCAGCGTTGGGTGCAGGTTGACAAGCCGGATGACGAAGGAGTACGTCGCAACAAAAATAACAAAAATGGCTATCAACAGCCATGCATCAGTGCCACCCAGAGCCCGTGTTCTACGAAGGGCAACGGAGGGCGAACGAACTCGGCCAAGGAAGCCCTCGAAATGGGACTCTGAACGTGGGTCGCTCACCCGTAAGCTTTGTGGGCGACATACTATATTTTCCACACAAACTGACTGAAGCCAGAGAGTTTTCAGAATAGACATCACCAATTCCAAAGGAACTTTACATATGTACATGGTAGTGGTAAAAGGTACTATACCACAGCCTCTCGTGCCTCATGTAGCATATGCCACCACGGCCACGCGTTCAACCGGCCCCGTAATTTGAAAGAATAGCATAGGATTGCAATTGTAGCGCACCGACGCGCATTATTGTGAAGTATGAACACTGCCGAAACACTTATCATCATGATCCTGCCCTGGGTAGTCCTTGATGCGCAGCTGAAGAGAATCTTCTATTTGCAGCAGCACCAAAGTTAATGCTAGTACGTCACCAGGAATTGGTGCGCAACCCTCGTTCAAAAACTGTGGTCGGTGAGAGGGTTACCGACGGGCGAACGGTCAAAGAAATATCCCTGAGAGCCTGAACGTGAAACAGCTCACTGGAAAGTCTCGAGAGTCGCCGACCTCATGGGACGCAGGAATATCAAGTCCTGTGCCTTCAGGAAACGCACAGGAACGGAAAAGGCCTGGAGGCTTGGAGAAGAGGTAACACTCTTCTACGGTGCTTAATGTTCCGTATTTTGGATCTCCAGCAATTTCGGCACCGAGCTCATTTTTAAATTGCCTAAGTCACCAACCCGCGCTGGAAGCATGTACACAGGTCATTTACCATCGTGATTACAATTATGACACGCATTCTTTAGCGCCTTGGCGACGGGATGCCGCGACGAACTACTCTTGGGCTCAACCTTAGCAGGAGGCGCAGATAATCGTCAGTGCTCATCATTTTTGTAAAACCCCCCGCCAGCGGCAGGCATGTGAACTGTCGACATTCGTTACATCAGGATGTTAAAACTACCCCCTAAATACAAGTTTACAACATACGCAACAGTTGCATGCCATTGCGACAGCCGCCAGTCGCCTACCTCTGTAAATCGGCCTATCAGTGAGCGGACATTCATGGCTGTGCTGAAGAATATACACGAAGGAGGGTACTGAACATCAGGTTATTGAGATGTGCACCCCGTACGTTGCTCCGAGCCTACAAGAAGGATCCGAAATTGTACCTGACTGGACGGCGGCCATATGAATTGATTCCGGGAGCAACCTATGCCACCACAGCTCAGTAAGCTGAATGCATTTGTGGGCTACGTGAAAGAGGAGTGTCAGGAGAAGAGTGCGCGAAGGCTGTGAAATAGGAACAAGAAAGTAAACTAATAGTTATAATCTAATAAACTCCAGACCTAAAAACTAAATCTTTTAAATACAAGGGGGGAGGTGGTCTTCCAAGCATAGCTCACCCTGCCGTTTCGCATGATAAGAGTTGTTCAAATTGTACTCTATATTAGAATTATCAAGTGTATAAAAAAGGTTACAAGTGTAAGTGAATGGAGTAAAAGGAGAATAGGAGAGCAGATTAGGAAAGCAATCTAGTAAGAAGGAATGAAGGAAAACGTGGTTAGATGGAGATACTGTAAAACGCTATTTGCAACCTAACTGACGTGATATGTTAGTATTAGTATCGAAAAAAGGCGCTCAGTTGCACACGGATAAGGTATATATAATATTGACCGATTCCAATCTGTGCGGGTTCCGTCGGCAGTGTCTATGATTGACAATTTTGATCCGCGATCGTGCCACACAGAGAAGATCCGGAACGGCTGTAAGCGGAGGGGACTGACCTTGGCACCAGAGCCAAGTCAAGTAAGCGTCGTGCGTGCGGGTTAACCCACCAGCCCAACAAAGGCGACTATGCCACCACAGCTAGTAAACTGAATGTCATGTGGGTAGTGAAAGAAGGAGTGTAGGAAAGAGTGCGCGAAGGCTGTGAAATAGGAACAAGAAACGCTGGGGAGACTGAATTCTTCACCTAATTGCAGTCCCCAATCCAGCGATCTGCAGCACCTTCGCGAAAAAGACTCGAAAGATAACGTACGGCAGTTGAGGGAGACAACCCTATATCGACCATATACTGATCGATTCCCATTTGTCTCTCGAAACCCTTCGACTCCCGTCGAAACTTCATCCTTCAAAACCTCAGTATACCATAGTACTGCCTGGGATGAGCTATGACCTCAGCATAGCCCTTTAATGCAAGACTTCACCTGTCGAGCTCACCAGGAGAACGGGTGTAAGAAGCGAGCCGATAACTCGGTGGTAAAAAATGAGAGAAGCGGAAAAGGATCGCCTTGATCGACTACGAGCCAGTCCAGGGGACGTGCGTCAACGCAGCAGAGGCAGAGGAACTCCTGGAAGGGACTCGAGCCGGACCAGAGGAGTGTGGCTCCCGAGCGACTCGCCAATCTGCCCCTGCAAAAAACAAGGTAACCGGAGTCCCTGCACGAAAAGCTGGACGATCGGAGTGGGGAGAATTCGCATTCCGTCTGGCTATAGCCCAACGTAGTGCTACTCATTAAATCAGAGATGCAAGAAGTGTAAAGAGCTGATACGGTGCCAGTCAAAAGAAACCAGCCGAAATTAGAAAGGGGTTCAAGGTTTGCTCAAAGGCTCCTGGATGGAACTCCCTCGCAAGGCAGCTCATAGATAGGGGCGAGATTGAGGCTGCAGATTCTTAGGGCAGAGGACAGGTCCGCTGAAAGCTAGGAAGAATGAAGTTAGGAAATGCTGTGGGTACCAATCGTGCCGGAGCGGTTCCGCGCTAACGATGAGGCTACCGGAGGTCAAGGGAGCGTTTGCACGGCCTATTAGGTTGGGCTGCGTTTCATCACAGATTCCAGTAAAACGCATCTTTATGGCATCTCTTCACTCGGGGCCCTTATCGGGTG